AGATAGCTTAAGCATTTTATTAAACATGTAATGTCCTATTGGTCGCATTTTTGTATCTTGTTTCGTTAGTTTGTTTGTAGGGTTGTAGGTGGTAAGGGATAGTGAGTGCTGTTTGGTTCATCTACTTTATTACTATTACTATTACCTTCATTAATGTTGATGATGTTGCTCCGCCGGGCGTCCTTGGTATTTGAGTACATACATATATATATGTATGTATATCTTCATAACCACTTATGGGCGGCATTGTTTGACCGGAAAATTTTATGTACATGCTTACATACAAGTAGGTATGAATGTATGATATTGTGCATATGTAATACCGTTAGTTTATATGTGAGTATTTATTTGCCGGCACAAGTGCCCTTGGCCCTTGCGAGTATTCGAAAAGGTTGTTGCCAAACATTTCACAATTGAAACTCGAATGACTGCTCCGGAACAATTCTTACAGTTGCAATTTGTGTATTTTTATAAATATATACTCACACACATACATATGTGCATATGTATGTATTTATGTTATGTAATAATATTTGTAGGTACTTGTCTTTTAAGTATACATTTGTGTACTTGTTAGTTTCGAAAAATTTAATATATCCTTTGGGGAAATATTAACATGAAGTTCTTTGAACTTTTATTTTAGCATCACTTGTAGGTAGGTATGTACATATGTGGAATGGTTTTTAATAATAATTTAATATTTGTATCTCAAATAGGCATTGGCCCCCAGCTTACCCTTGGGCATAAGCAATTTCTGCTTGCTCAGTTGGGCCAGGAAGTTGATAGCTCTACCTGGTGTGGAAGTGACTTAGCTTGTGTGGATGTCTAGTGATTTCTGTAGTTGCCTAGAATCCAGTGGGATCCAGTGGGCATGTCTTACTGCTTGAGCTATTTAAATTTTCTTTTTTTGAATATGGTTGGGCCAAAAGCGTGCTTGAGGATTCGAACAGGAGTGTACCGCGCACAATCCATAAAAAATGAACACCGTCAACCCGCCTTAAAGAGCAAGAAAAGTAGCCAGCTTTACAGTGATTTATCTGAATTTGCTCCGTAAAACTAATACGGCAACACCAAAAGTTCCCTTCAGGGTCAGGTAGAACCTCTCGGAGCGATTCAATGTCAAAAAATGTTTCATACAAGAGAATTTGAATTTGAATTGAGAAATTAGAATCTTCTATAAGAGTATACAACTGCTATCGTATGCTGATGATATTGATAGCCATAGCCGCGTAGTAAGTTCTATTTTCTTAAGACTGCATGCGGAAGCGAGGCGAATTAGTCCAGTAGTAAGCGAGAATAAGGTTGTGCTAAGAAGACGAAATTTTATATACAAGAGGATTAACAAAAGTTCGGTTAGTTGGTGACTTTCAATTTGTTAAGTTAAAGCCAAAGTATCAAAGTCTTTGCAATTACTTTATTAATCTTCCTTTCAAATTTTAGAAAGATCGGCTGAAACGAAGACAAAAAACGCAAGATAGCTGAGGAAGGGTTAGACGAAATTCGACCGCCAACGCAAACTGAAATTTGCCAAGGGATTTTCTTTAGGTTTTGGTGTAATTTAAAGTCAATACAAATTTTCAGTGAATGCAAAATTGAATATGGAACGATTGCACCATCTTTAAAGACTACTTATAAGTAGTTACGAATATTTCAGACTCGGCATTTTTTCGTAGCGTACGAGACTCGGAAGGGTCGACCATAATCTTTCACTGATGGCGTCACTGTAGCTATGGTGAAGTCCAAAATTGACGAAGAGCCACGATTGATACAGGAAACGATTGCTAATGAATTGGGTTTGAATGTCATGCCAATATCCTGGATATTAAGTATTCATCTGGTATACACGAATAAATTTGTTCGAAGGGTACCACGAATTTTAAATGAGGCCCAGAGAGAAGTTTGGGTGCAATCGTCGCTGGTGGGCGAATCTTAGCTCTATAAGCACGATCCAGAAACCAAATAGCAGTCCATGGTATGGAGCCCAAACGGAAGAAAAGGTTTTAAAAAATTTGTTGAAATACAGGAATAAGGAGGATTTGCCGCGCTACTTTTTACATCATGACAACGCGCCATCCCACACTGCTGAAATAACGAGTATTTTTACTGCGATCTCTTGAATCGAAGAATTACGTCCAGCTCCATATTCCTCAGATAAAGCACCTTGTGATTTATAGTTTTTTTTTCCAAAAATAAATAAAAAATATTCAAAATGAAAGGTCTTTAATAACAATGAGCAGATAATTAACGCGGTTAATACTGAATTTGATAAGCTAAGAAAGCAAGATTTTGTTTCAGAAGCTTTCAGAAATGGATCTATAGGCTTAAGAAATGCATTGACAATAAAAACCGCATTACTGAACTTGATTTACTCCACTTATGGAGCTAATGGATGAGATATTTTGAAGAAGCAAAAAAGTACAATACAAACTCAGTTCAGATTTATAATGATACAATAATTTGAAGGTAGTTTCATTCTCTCCTCGCAGTCGGCCTCGTGCCACCTTCTAGTCTTAAAAAAAGTCTACCATTTTTAAGTCGATTAAATTTACAAACACTTTTGAATTCAATCTAACCACTAAATATATTGATATTTGGAAATCTAGTCATTTAGTTAGGTTAAATTGCACTTGGTTTCACTCTATCATCTACTGTTTATTACTCTGTTAAAGGCTAATCTTAACAAATACTTCGCCGAGAAAAGAGGAAGCCTCCATCATGTGCAGAGTTTACCGATGTTATGATTGTTCCCTAACCGGTCAGCTCATCGGCGTAGGAGTTCCTTAGGGTGTCCCTATGATCGAGTAGTCGAGAAAACCTATACGCCTTAGTTTCGAGAAAAATTAAAAAATTACTCTTTCTATTTTATTTATAATGAAAAGCATCTGGCAAATTTTTCTCTTACTTCTTGCGCCTAAAAGGGATGCCTTGAAACTAATATTTTAATAGATCCATACGTGTTTCCATATTATTGCATTCTGCTTAAAAGACAACCCCAAAAATAATTAAAAAATTTCCAAGTTTAATATTATACAGGTGACAAGATCAAACATTTCTGAGCAAACTCGTTTAATGTCAAAAATTTTGAAGTGAAACTACTTTATAGAATTTTTGTATAATGATATTTATTATTCTTTTTAAGTAAATATTGGGTTGCCCAAAAAGTAATTGCGGATTTTTTAAAAGAAAGTAAATGCATTTTTAATAAAACTTAGAATGAACTTTAATCAAATATGTAATTGCCATTTTGTTCGATAACCTTTTGCCATCTTCCTTGCAAATTTAGTATTCCACGCTCATAGAACTTCTGGCCTTCATCTGCAAAAAACTGAACCAAGAGCGATTTTATAGCCTCATCATTGCCGAAAGTTTTACCATTTAAGGAGTTCTGCAAAGATCGAAATAAATGGTAGTCTGATGGTGCAAAGTCAGGGCTATATGGTGGATGCATCAAAAGTTCCCAGCCAAGCTCACTCAGTTTTTGGCGAGTGACCAAAGATGTGTGCGGTCTAGCGTTGTCCTGGTGGAATATGACACTTTTACGATTGACCAATTCTGGTCGCTTCTCCTTGATGGCTGTATTCAATTCGTCCAATTGTTGACAGTAAACATCCGAATTAATCGTTTGGTTCCTTGGAAGCAGCTCAAAATATACGACACCCTTCCAATCCCACCAAACAGACAGCATAACCTTCTTTTGGTGGATATCAGCCTTAGAAGTGGTTTGAGCTGGTTCACCATGCTTGGACCATGATCGTTTTCGACTAACGTTGCTGTAAACAATCCATTTTTCATCTCCAGTTATGATTCGTTTTGAAAACGGATCGAATTCATTGCGTTTAAGGTGCATATCACAAGCGTTGATTCGGTGTGTTAAATGAATTTCTTTCAATACATGTGGTACCCAAATATCAAGCTTTTTCACCAGTCTAAGACTTGTTATGTGATAATGAACAGTTGATTTTGGTATATTTAACTTCTCTCCTATCTCACGCTCAGTTACATGACGATCCAATTCGATTAATGCTTTGATTTGATCATCATCAACTTCATTTGGCCGACCTGAACGTGGCTCATCTTTAAGTGAAAAATCTCCAGAACGGAATTTGCGAAACCAATTTTGACACTGTCTTCCTTTTAAGGCTTCATCACCATACACATCTCGTAACTCTTTAGCAACCGGCTCCGCGTTTTTTCCTTTACGGAAATATTAAAGTAAAATATGACGAAAATGCTCCTTTGTGGGCTCCATATTAAAATTGACGCCAAACAAACAAATGTAAACAAAATTTCGCGCAATTTTTCTCTAAAGCAAGCTAAAAGTAACAGCTGATAACTGACAGAAGAAAGAAGGCAATTACAGAGTCACAAGCCGTTGAAAAAATTTGTCAACGCCGACTATATGAAAAATCCGCAATTACTTTTTGGGCAACCAATATATCTATTTACCAAAGACGCTTCGTTTAATTATTTCACATAAACTCTTATGCTTTTAAAAACTAACACCTATAAATTAATGCAAATTATAGGCGTTCTTTTGTAGGTCGGGTAAAACTGTTAAGAACGAAACACATTACTTTGAAAAATAAGTATCGGGCAATATTCGAGAATGTTAAAATGCATAGATTGTGTAAAATACAGTATCACTACGCCTAATTATACTAACAATAACAAAGCAACGTGAACATAAGATTGTTTTCGATATTTTGTGTTTATGTGAATTAACAGTTCATAAAAAATTATTTGATATTGATAAAAAGGGCATATCAGAACAAAATAAGAGAGCCAACCGGAAGAAGAAGGAAAAAGAATGGTATTGAATGTTGGTCAATTCTTTCAAAGAAAAAATATTGCACCTTCTAGCAGTGCCTGAAAGCAGTTTACCGTAAACAGATACGTATGTATGTATGTATATGCTAAGATTGCCACATTTTCGTTCATACTCTGAAACTTGAAAAAATTAAGATTATCTTCATGGCTAACTATAACAAAAATAATCTGAATTAATTTACATACATATGTATGTATATAATGTCGATGAGTTCGCAATTACTTCATTTATTGTATTACTAAGCTCTCAAACATCGTCGGACAGTTTTCTTACAAAGTGTTTATGGATATATTGTACAATTCATATGATAAAATATTAATTTGTTTTATTTTTTCCACTAAAATAACACTATAATTTAAGTAATTATTTACATGCATTTAACACAAATCTCATTAACTCCTCACTTATTCTTAACACTTTTCTCTTCATTGCCATTTATATCTTCCTTTTGTTTATTTTGTTTATTTTGTAAATATGTACGTCGATAGAAATTACCAAAGAGCGCCACCATAATCAAAGACTGGCACACAGCGAACCACAGTAGGCCTTTGGGAAAACCACATTGCGGACGAAATACTAAAGGATACGAGTGATGAAGTAAAACCAATACGAAATGTGTTAATTGTATTCTTGTTATGTACTTTTTCCACCACAAGCCCATCTTCTTGTTCGGCTGCAGCGCTGATACCAAATAATAGGTGTACATGAAACCATGTACAGCACAATTCAAAGCGATGACACTGGCGTATTGGCCGGCACCGCCATAATAGCTGCCCAAATAGTAAACAAATGTGCTCATCATGATGTGATGGTAGATGTGCAGGAATGACACTTGTTTGAAGCTTTTACGCAGCACAAAGAAAACCGTTTCCACATAATCGATCACCTTGAGCAGATAGAAAATGTAGAGGCCATAAATGTTAAGCTCCTGCAGGGCTGGTGAATGCGGGAATTTCGTGAGACAACCGAAATCAGGTACATCAGCGCGATTCGCATAGAAAATTACGATGAACTAGTGGAATGAAAGTGTGTGTGTGTGTGTGTTTATTGAATTTAAATTTATATTTTTCATTTAATATTATATTTTCTCATGTATTGAATTGTAGAAATAAAAATGATCACTCAACTCACTTGATAGCACAACCAACAATTAGCGATTATTTGTGCGAAATTATATGCTAATATCACGTTTTTTATGTTAAATGGTTTCCGATTGCGCATGAAAAGCGGTCCAAGGACCAATACAATAGCGAGATAGATCAACGTCAGTACGATTATTGGTATTGGCGAACCATAGAGCGGCAATTGCTCAGCCACAGGATCTGTAAACATTCATTAAAATAATTACGTATATGCTTAACAGTGACTTGAAACACTATTCTTTAAATTACCGCGTTCATGGAAGATTCTTTGGAAAGTTTGTGACATTATGTTATTTAATTTTTTATTACTTAATATATTTTTTCAATTTACTTAAGTGCTAAATAAATATTCAACCACTTCGTACGGCTACTACGAAACTAATAAAAAGTTTAACGGTCAGTCAATCACAGTTATGTTATGAGTTGAAGTACGAGTTTCGTGCTAAAATGTGTTTATATATATATTTATTATTCAAGTTGAAGTTTGTACGCTCAAAGTATTTGAGTTACAAAAAAAAAAAAAAAAAAATGTTTGATGAAATTAAAGTAAAAAGTTTAACATACAAATGAAAAAGTAAAAAATATTGTAAATATGTAAATAAATGCATGCATGCATCAAAAAGATTCTCATATACATATATTTCGACAATTAAAGTCTGAAATTTCTACAACACTCTATAGCTTTGTTTATATGAGTAACTTTGTAGTAATTAAAAATATATAAATGCATAGACGTGTTTTGTAATACTTAAAATAATTCGATTATAAATGCAGAGTATGAAATTTACATATAATATTTAACATGTATGCATATACATATTAGCATACATGCCAATGCACATTTAAATAGGCTAAACATATGTTTTAGGAACTCGTTTTGTTGATTGATTGTACAGTTAAGTTTCTCAATTACATCGAATGTGCCAAATCTTTACAGCTTCAGGGAGAGACTCGGACACTCTGCCGATGGTTATGGTACCCACGAAGATAGGAGAGCGCTCAGTATTAATATTAGGGTGATCCAAAAATTTCACTGAAGGTTAGAAAAGTGAAAATCTCGCTAAACTAAAATAGTAAATCCCATATGGTGCAACTGAGACAAATGTAAAAAACTCAGTTTTAATTTTTTTTCAATTCTGCTTTTGAACATCTACATCGAGAAGTATTTAATTTTCGCCCTTCAAAATTCTCGTGATTCGATATTGTATGCTACGAGCTCTGTATTTTTTTGAACTTCAGTATAAACATGCTTATGTATTTCTAAAACAAATATTGTATTATAGAAAATGTGTAGTCCTACTGACATATATAATAAAGAATATTTAAAATGATTTTCATCTTATACACATAATGTTAAATGTTATGTAAATTTTTTCGACGAGTTTGTGCTCCAATATTTATATATGAATGTTCGTCTTGATATTTTTTCCCATCAATCATAATTTTGTGTCGCCTCCCAACGGCTGTCGGATTTTAATGGGCTATACAAGTGTGTAAATTTCAAAAAATCTAATTTTTTGGCCAAATCGACAGTTTATACTCTCAAAAATATTCTGCGAAAGCGGCAAAGTCGTATCTTGAATAGTTTTTGAATGGCTGTGTTATAAACCGTTAAGCTTTCACGTATAACATCGCTTGTTTAGATTTTAAACGCGTTTTTCTCGAAAGAACATTTTTCAATATTACTGACATCATAGCAAAACAAGAAATTGATCAACCGACTTTAAATTGAAGCTGAGTACATTTGAATATATTTACTATGCTCCTTTTGATTGGTTGAAAATTATTACTACGGCGTTAAAAAGCGACCACTTTTTTACATCAAAAATTTACCATTTTTACAGAAAATGAAATTTATTTTTTTTTGTTGACATTTTTCAAAAATTGAAGGTCATTGTGTAAGAAATACCTTAAATTTTAATAGCCCTTCGGCTGAAAACAGGTCAGCAGTGGAGGAACTTTTTTTGGCGCCCCCGAAGACAGGAAATTATTTTCCAATATTTACCAAAACAAAGTCTTAAAATATAGCTGAAAATATAACGCAAAATGTTCGAAAAACTTTAAACCATTTGAGGGGTGTAAATGAGGTCTAGTCAAACTTCTGGGTATGCGGTTACAGTTGCGAGGCTATACTGCTGAAGTCTAATTGCAGCGTCTGTCCACCAGAGGTGCGGCTGCGAGCGGGCGTCGGTCTTGAAGCAAACGGCTTGCTATATAGCGGGAGAGAGACTCCGTCGTTCACTCCGGTGGATGAGGGTCTCGCCACAATCCACATTAAAGCAAAATTTTTCAACATATCGCTGATTTGCGCCCATGCCCCGACGGAAGAGAAGGACGATTTGGCCAAAGATGCCTTTTATGAGCGTCTAGAGCATACTTACGAGCACTGCCCCGACACGACGTAAAAATCGTAGTGCTTGGCGACTTTAATGTAAGGGTGGGCAAAGAAGGTATCTTTGGTTCGTCTGTTGGACAATTCAGCTTTCACAACGAAACATCCCCTAATGGGTTGAGGCTGATCGACTTCGGCGGAGCCCGAAATATGGTCTGGAGTACTAGATCTAGTAGTACTAAATACCAGCACAAAAAATACATCAAGCTACTTGGCTGTCCCCTGATCGAAAAACCTAAAACCAGTTCGATCATGTTGTAATAGAAGGAAGACATGTATCCGGTGTTCTTGACGTGCGTACACTCCGAGGACCCATCATCGACTCGGGCCATTATCTTGTTGCAGCAAAAATACGCATGCGCCTCTGTGTATCGAAGAACGCCCGTCAACAAACACAAGGAAAGTTCGACATTGAAAAGCTGCAATCACAACAGACTGCCGAACGATTTTCTACTCCACTTGCATTCCTGCTCTCTGAGAGCACTCATCAGCAACTCTGTATATGGGACCTGTGGGATGACATCGCTCCCTACGTGCAGCTGCAAACGAAACTATTGGATTTCGTGAAGGTCGTTAAAACAGCTGGCACGATGAGGACTGCCGTGTCGCAGTAGAGAGAAAATAGACTGCCCACCTCGCAACCTTGCGATCGAACACAACACGTGCAGGATGGGATAGATACCGAGAGATGTAGAGGAAGAAAGAAGCAAGACGCGCAAATGCAGGCAAAAAAAGAAAGGGGCCGAGATGCGTGAGTATTAATATGAAGAGGAAAGCAGGACGTAAATGCAGGCAAAAAAAGAAAGGGGCCGAGATGCGTGAGTATTAAGAGCTTGAGATGCTGGTCGAACAGGGTAATGCTCGAAAATTCTACGAGAAGATACGAAAACTTACAGAAGGTTTCAAGACCGGAGCAGACTCTTGTAGGGCACAAAGAGGTGATCTAGGCACTGATGCCCAGAGCATATTGAAGTTATGGAGGGAACACTTCACCAACCTGCAGAATAGTAGGGAAAATGGAGCATCCGGAGATGGTGAACCCGAAGCCCGAATCGATGACGGTGGAAAAAACGTTCCATTACCGGACCATGAGGAAGTTCGAATAGCAATCGCCCGCTTAAAAAACAACAAAGCGGCGGGAGCTGACGATCTACCGGCAGAACTATTTGAACATGACGAGGTGCATGCATCAGCTACTTTGCAGAATATGGTCGGGCGAAAGCATGCCCGACGATTGGAATTTGAGTGTGTTCTGCCCAATCCATAAAAAAGGGGACCCCTCAGTCTGCGCCAATTACCGTGGGATAAGCCTCCTCAATATCATCTATAAGGTCCTGTCGAGCGTATTATGTGAAAGACTGAAGCCCACCGTTAACAAACTGTCAACCATTGACCAGATGCCATTTACAAATCTTGGAAAATACCCGGGAGAAGAGGATCGGACCCCACCACCTCTTCGCTGATTTAAAGCCGCCTTCGACAGCACGAAAAGGAGCTGCCTTTACGCCGCTATGTCTGTATTTGATATCCTCGCTAAACTTATACGGCTGTTTAAGCTGACGCTAGACAACACCAAAACCGCAATTAGAATTGGGAAGGACCTCTCCGAGCCGTTCAATACCAAACGAGGTTTCAGACAGGGTGACTCCTTGTTGTGCGATTTCTTCGATGCTGGAGAGAATAATAAGAGCCGCAGAGCTCTTCTATAAGAGTGTACAATTAGTGGCTTACGCCGATGATATTGACATTATCGCCTCAACAACAGCGCCGTTAGTTCTGCTTTCTCCAGGCTTGATAAAGAAGCGAAGCGAATGGGTCTGGTAGTGAACGAGGACAAGACGAAATATCTCCTGTCATCAAACAAACAGTCATCACATTCGCGACTTGGCATTAACAGCAATAATAACGGCAGTCTTGAAATCCAACGCAGAATCTGCGTAAGATTTATGGTAAGATTTATGGATTTGAAGGCAACTGGACTTTTCAACAAGACTTCGATCCAAAGTACACTGCACACGTAGTTCGAGACTGGTTTCTGCATTATGCCCCCCAGACAGCTAAATTTACCACCACAGCCAGTAGATATTCATCCAATTAACAATATTAGGAATGTTCTAAAAAAGAAAATAAGCAAATATGAGACCAGCAGTCGTAAAATTCTAAAAACTGCCCTTATTCAGGCTCGTGTCGTAATTTATCTCAAAATAACTGATTATTTGTTGACTTTAATGCACCCACATCTACAAGCATTAAAAAAAAAAGATTTTATAAAAAGAATTTGTCAACTTTTGTGTTAGCTGCAAGAAAACTTTTTTCTTTGACTGTATGAACTTTTTTACGTAATTAAATTTTACTGTAAATATACAAAGCTTAGTAGTAAATTAAAGACGTGTTAGCTCGTGCTAACACTGTGCCCTTTTCGAATTCTGCAGCTCTCCTTAGAAGGCGGAAATATCTCCTTACTGCTGTCGGAAATTTCTGGATTAGTTTAACAAATCATAAGCTAATGGATTCGGATCAATTCTCAGTTTCATGAGATACTTTGTTTTACCCCTTTTAACTGCAGAAGTAATCAGTTACATACCAAGGTCTTTATGTTTGTTTACGTTGTCATACTCTATCGAGAAAACGTTTGCTGAACATCAGTCCTTCGGAGGCCGCTTAGTATAAACTGTAGGTTCCTCCATTTGTTGGAAAAACAACAAGACGCAATATCACAAATTGGAGGAGGAACTCGGCCGAAAATCTTCAATGGTTACCAAGATATTATGTTTTTGGCAACACTGGTTCAAACAGTTAACGCACGTTTCGTGTTTTGTATCTCTGTCAAACATCTTCAGTTTGGTCTATAACTTTACCATGAATCGTCTTATAAACGAACAGCGCCTCCAAATGATTGAATTTTATTATCAAAATGCGTGCTCTGTTAAGAATGTTCAAGGCGTGCTTCTTCCGCGCGCGCTTCGAAGCTCATTTTCGACTTAATATGACGGCATCAATAAGTAAAATTGTCGATTTTGGAGTAAAGATCAGCTAGAAGCATGCAACAGCAA